CCCCGGAATATAAGGCCCCGAAGCTCCAGGAAAAATAAGACCTCCCCTGAAAATAAGACCTAGCGCATCTTTGGGAGCAAAAATTAATATAAGACACTGTCTTATTTTTGGGGAAACACGGTAAATGTATCTGTGAGGATGGACTCCTCAGCCACCTGACCCTCCCAAACATTGTTTTTCTTGCCTCAGAAAAAAATGCAAACCCGACTGAACACCCTGAAGCAAGAGAGAGAAGAACGTCTGGAGTGGAAACAGGATGGAGAGATGCAAAGCCAGGAATATCTGGTAGGTGCCCATTGTGATGGTCCAGCAGTTGCATCAGTCAGAGTTGGCATCTCTCTGTGTGGGGAGAGTGTCAGCCCTGGTCTATACACAGCACTGCCTGATTTAGCTATGGCTACATCTACACGGCACAGCTCTGGGGGCGACCTGTAGGGTATGTGTAGCTACACAGCACAGTGAAAAGCAGCTGTGTCCACGCTGTGGTGTGTAGCTACACGGGTGAATGAAAGGCTCCAGCAGGGGAAGGCAGTAGAGCTGCCGGAGCCTTTACCTGCAGCAGGAAAAGGCTCCAGTGGCAGGGAGGCAGCGGGACACTACACTGCTAAAAATAGTGTAGATGGGAGAGGCACTGCTTGGGGGTGTATAGAGCCATGTATCAGAGTAGCAGGCGTGTTGTTCTTTTTGCAGATACAGACTAAGAGTACTTGTGGCACCTTAGAGACAAAAACATTTATTTAGTCTCTAAGGTGCCACAAGTACTCCTGTTCTTAGAGCCATGTATGTAGATGTAGCAGATCGTTGACTCACCACCGCCGCGCCTCCTGCTGGTCGTCTGGAAATTAACTCTTTCCAGCACTCAGAGCACCTCCTGCTGGCTGGTGTCTGTTCTGGACCCCAGTGCCCCTTATCTTGGGGTGCTGCCCCACAGCAGTGCCCCCTCAGTCTGGATTTCCTTTCCCAAGGGAATCCCCTCCCCCTATTCCCACCTTACCTCAGTCATTATCTAGCCCCATTTCTCTGAGGCAGACTGCAGTCTGTAATGGCCACTCATCATCCGCAAGGGGGCGAGACCAGCTGCCTCTGCCTATCCCCAGGCTGCACCTCTGCAGCCCCAATATCTACTTAGGCCTTTACCAAGGCCTCAGCCTGGAGAGTTGCCAGGCTGGAGCTCCCCAGCTCCTCTTGCTCTTCCCCAGCACTGCTCTGCTCCAGGTACCCTGTGCTCCCAGGCAGCCAGGTCCTTCCCACTCCAAGGCTAGAGTGAGACTGACTCCGCTCCTCCATTAGCCCTTATATCAGGGCCAGCTGTGGCCTGATTGGGTGTGGCCAAGGCTGTGGCCACCTCCCCAATCAGCCTACCCTTTTCCCCAGGAATGGGGTAGCTGCCCCTCTACAGTAGGCTATCTGTGGGGCCTGTTTCCAATCCTCTGTCCGTTCACGTATCCGGGCAGAGTTCCTCTGGGCGGCATCCACTGGCTCCCTTGACACCTTTGAGGAGCAGTGGGCGCTGTCCGGGGTTCTCTGCTCGGTGTCCCCGTCAGGTTCTCTTCTTTTGACCCTTTAATCGCACTCCTGTCCCTGTTTTTACATTAGTTGTCCCCCGTAATCATTTGGGTTTTAGGTCCTGTGGGTCCTCCCCTTAGGCTGGGGGGAGGATCCTTTAGCACTTCCTGGAACCCAATAGGTACAGTAGGCTATATAGCCAGAGGGTTCAGACTGGCTTAAGCCATGCCTCACCATCTACGCTGCTATTTATGCCCATGTTAGCAGGGGCATATAGTGTACGTCCTCTACATTTGTGTAGTACCGACTTACCTCAAATCACTTTTTAATGTAATGTCTTTATACTGGTGTAAACCTCTGACATGCAAACATTGTAAACCTAATTTAATTTGACCCTAGTGTGGTGTGACTGGACACTGCCAGGTTCCCCTTTCAAAAATTGGACATCTGGCAACCCTAGTCCCTGACCTGTCCTTTCCCTGTTTGTCCCTTCATTATAGGGAAAGATAGACGCTGAGAGGCAGAAGATTGTGTCTGAATTTGAGCAACTGCGGCAGTTCCTGGAGGAACAAGAGCAACTCCTGCTGGCCCAACTGGAAGAGTTGGCCAAGGAAATTGTGAAGATACAGGATGAAAATGTCACCAAACTATCTGAGGAGATTTCCCGTCTCAGTGACTTGATCAGTGAGATAGAAGAGAAGTGTCAGCAGCCAACAAGTGAATTCCTACAGGTGAGACTGTTAGACACCCAGATCCCTGCCCAGGGAAGGGAGAGATTCTGAGTGATTAACTTTGGAGTTTACTAACTTCTTGGAGAGCTCCCACTCCACAATGGAGACTGTCAGCGTGTCCTTTAGCAAAGTGAGGGAAAACAAAATTTGACATTTCTAATATTTCCAGTGTGGAAACAGTTTTGCTGTTTTAAAGGCAGACGTTTCAGGCCTTTTTGATACATCATATATTAGCCGCTTTGTTTTCAGTTTAAACCGATTTTTACCAAAAAATTCCTGGGTTTTACAAAAAGTATTATTCAGGTTTTTCTGATTTTCATCATCCTTTTGTATCATTCAAATATAAAAAAAATAACTTTTTATTAGGAAAATACAATGCATTGCATGAGATCTCTGTATTACGATAATACATTAGTCTGTGTGTATATGCAAAGCTGCCTGGTGAATTAAGAACATATTGTTCTAGAAGATACACACAATAACCAACAGGCAGGCACACAAGCTCTGAAGTGTGTATGCATCTGAACATACTGATAAATCTCACACCCACCACGTACACAAATGGTGTGGCCCAATTATCAAATGTGAATATTTATAGGCTAATAGTTCTAAGTCTGCACCAGTAAACTGTTGGTTCAAATGAAAAGTTTTATTTGGGGATTAGAGATCTATTGTTTTCTTAAACTCAGGGGCGTGTTCTGTTTTGAGCTCTGTTTTAGTTCTGCAGCAAACCACAGCGATGAACAGAATTCAAAGCATTAATCTACTGAACACTTTTCCCCCCTGTCTTTCCATCCAGCAAAACAAACCCCGATATTTACCTAGAAAAATTAATAGTTTTTTGCACTGATTTTCACCTGTTTTTGTTGTGGTAATTTTTCCTGGGAATTTATCAGTGTTTAACTAAAATAAAAAGAGAAAACGAAGGGCCCTAATGATCTGGACGCAATAAATGGCACAACTCCAGTTTCTAGGAAGTAGGAGATTAGGAAAGCAAAGTTCTTTGCAGGTCCTATTAAGAAATGGGAATGAATCCAGCTTCGAGAATTGCATACATGGAGAAAGGCAAACACTCTGACACAGCAGTTGCATGTGGAAGTCAGGGATTCATGTGTCTGATCAGTCTGATGGAGCAAGTGTCATTGACACAGGCAAAATAGAATTTAGAAGGAGAAACCCCACAATCATGGTGCGTGCTTAGGGGCCCCTTTCCATCGAAGTCTGTGAATGGAATTTGAAAGGTGCAACTACAGAGAACTGCATCTAGAGCTCGACTAGGGATGGCCAAGTGAGTCATCCATCTCCAGAGCAGGCGCGATCCCCAGCTTGTGGCTTGTGGGACTGAGCTCTTCTTTTTCTTCTTTCCTCTCTCTCTTCTAGGACATCAGAAGCACCTGGAGCAGGTACGTAGCTCCATTCCGCTCCCCCTTATGCGTCATGATGTTGGAAGGGGATTGGACCCCCCGGGGTCAGATTTTGCAGGATATTTAGACACCTGACATGTAGCGAGGTACTTGGTGGAATTTTCCAAAGCAGCTAAGCGAGTTAGGCACCTCCCATTGCAATCAGTGGCAGTTGGGAGCCTAGCTTGGTTAGGTGCTTTTGAAAATCCCAGGAGGCACCGTTAAAAATCAGGCCTTAAGTGACTTGCCCACGGTCATGCAGGGAGGCTGTGGCAGAGCAGGGAGTGGAACATAGGTTTCCAGAGTCCTCTAACAACCCCTTAACCACTGGAGCATCCTTTCCCACGAGATTATGCCCTTCTCTCTGACGGGCAGCTTGTGGACCCCTTACTCTCTAACTCCCATTTGAGGATCTAGGCATTTAAATACTCCAGAGAGGAGGGCAGTTGACTCACCAGTGGGAGTTAGAGGCTCACAGCGAACCCACAAGAGAGCAGCCTCTGGTAGCTCATTCTCACAAAAGAAAGAAAAGTTTTAGAGAATGTTTGGTTTTTTCCCCTCTAGGTGTGAGAAGGTGAAGTTTGAGAAACCAGTGGCTGTGCCACAGGACCTGAGAGAGAGAGTCGGCGTCTCTTCTCAAAGAAATGTTTGTCTACAGGAGGCTCTGAAGAAATTCAAAGGTAACTGAACAGTTATCTGGGCTCATGCTACAGTGATGGTACATCGAGATGTGCCTCTGACTGTGGAAGGAGATGGACTCTGGCCTATTAGTTCTCAGCTCGTCCCAGCTAGACGTCTTTGTGGGTGGGCTGGGGAGGGCTCAGGGCTGATGCCAGTTCACCAGGCCTCCACTTGGATTGTCTCAGACCCAACCCTGGGTGTTAAAATTGGCCACTCAGAATTTCAGAGACACATAATCACCAGATGTTATAGAAAATATTGAATTTAACCTCCCTGGCTGGGATTTTCCAAGGGACCTAAGGGATTTAGGCACCCATCTCTCTGACAGTCAATGGGAGTTGGCCACCACATGGCCTCAGCCCTTTTGAAAATCCCAGAGTCTGTACCTCAAGTTCCTCCATCTTTAAAAAGGAGGAAATAATGGCCAACCTACCTTGTTGTGGTAATTAGTGAATGCCCCCCAGTGCTTTGAGATCCTTGGAGGCAGGTGGGAGATGGAGAGGTGCAAGATATTATATTTTGGACGATAATTTCACTTTAGTTTGGTCTCGCTGGAAAGGTCTCCCCATTCCAATCTGCCTCTCATCTATGGTCTTTTCCTTTGGGCCATCTCAGAATTACAGCACGGTTCCATGCAGTGCTGCTGTAGCTCTATCGGTCCCAGGATATTAGACAAGGCCGGGGAGGTAACAGCTTTTATTGAACCAATTCCTGTTGGTGACAGACAAACTTTTGAGCTATACAGACCTGAAGAAGAGCTCTGAGTAAGCTCCAAAGCTTGTCTTTCAAGCACAGTTACATTAATTAACAGTAGGAATGTCACCAGAGTCAAGAGAATATGAAATCACCTCTTCCAATCCTTCCTTTCTCTAGAGACCCGGCCCTCTGAACTGACCTCTGAGCCCAAAGGCAGAGAGAAAGGGTGAGGGCTAGATTCACAAAAGGACTCGGGGCTACCTGCCATTTTAGGCACCTGAATCCCAGAATCAGATCCCACTGGGATTCACAAAGCCCCCTGCTCAGCTGCAACCAAACCTTGTAGGTGCCTAAAATCACTCATCACCTCTGTTTTTGTGGTAAATGTTCCCTAGGCACTTATGTTTCTGCCTCTGTGCATGCGCCCTGCAGTTCCAGTCTCGCTGTCCAGACACCTAAGCCCCAGAGAGATACACGAACAGGGGAAAGAAAGGCGTTCCTCCTCCTAACTCGCCTACAGGGCCTAATCTGAGATGCCTGCTCTGAGCACACTTACTGGCTCAGGCCCTATAGGCAAACACTTACCCAAAAGAACCAGGCCCTAGGGAAAGAGATGTTCCCTTATAATATACATCATAGCTCTGTGATTAGGGTACTGACTTGGGATATGGGAGACCACCAGTTCAAATCCCTCGTCTCCCACAGGAGAAGAAGGGATTCCAGCAGGGGTCTGATATAGGCCTCTCTGTTTCCTCTTTCGAATCTGATCCATGGTGTATAAATAATTGAGTAGAGGGACAGGCTTCTGGGTCTCCCACCTCCCCAGGGTGTGCTCTAACCACCTGGCTACAGAGACATTCTCGTGATTTCTCTCTGCCTCCGGCCCAATGAATTATTGATTATCCCCAGTGGAACCTCTCCCCCAGGAGAGCATGTGGGCACCCGGCATCAGAAAATCCTACAGCCCAGAGGTTAGGGCACTGCTTGAGAGGTGGTAGATCCCATTTCAGATCCCTGCTCCCTCTGCGGCACAGGGTTAACTTGAACCAGGGGTCTCCCAAAGGCCAGCTGAGTGCTCCAACCACTGGGGTAAAAGTTATGAGCAAGGTGGGTTTCCTCCCCCCAGGCATCTTGCAAAAAAATGGCACAGTTGCCGGACACCAAGAGAGGGCTCGCAGCTGAGAATCCCACACCGAGGGAGGCACCTACAGTGCTGCCCAGACTCAGTCGCTGGTACTCCCTGAGACCGCCGGGGCTTGGCACACCCCCGTACCTTGGCCTTTCCCACTGGCTGGCGTAAGCAGGGAGTTGCCTAGCATGCTGGCTTTTATGAATCTCATTCCAAGGCGCATCTCTCTCCCCGTTCATGGTACAGATTGCCTGGGTGCCTGACTCCTGCTTTGTGAATCACAGTGACTTTATCGATTCATAGATTCTAGGACTGGAAGGGACCTCGAGAGGTCATCGAGTCCAGTCCCCTGCCCTCATGGCAGGACGAAATACTGTCTAGACAGGGGTAGGCAACCTATGGCATGCGTGCCAAAGGCGGCACGCAAGCTGATTTTCAGTGGCACTCACACTGCCCGAGACCTGGCCACCGGTCCGGCGGCTCTGCATTTTAATTTAATTTTAAATGAAGCTTCTTAAACATTTTAAAAACCTTATTTACTTTACATACAACAATAGTTTAGTTATATATTATAGTGTTATAGAAAGAGACCTTCTAAAAACGTTAAAATGTATGACTGGCACGCGAACCGTTAAATTAGAGTGAATAAATGAAGACTCGGCACACCCCTTCTGAAAGGTTGCCGACCCCTGGTCTAGACCATCCCTGACAGACATTTATCTAACCTACTCTTAAATGTCTCTAGAGATGGAGATTCCACAACCTCCCTAGGCAATTTATTCCAGTGTTTAACCACCCTGACAGTTAGGAACTTTTTCCTAATATCCAACCTAAACCTCTCTTGCTGCAGTTTATGCCCATTGCTTCTTGTTCTATCCTTAGAGGCTAAGGTGAACAAGTTTTCTCCCTCCTCCTTATGACACCCTTTTAGATACCTGAAAACTGCTATCATGTCCCATCTCAGTCTTCTCTTTTCCAAACTAAACAAACCCAATTCTTTCAGCCTTCCTTCATAGGTCATGTTCTCTAGACCGTTAATCATTCTTGTTGCTCTTCTCTGGACCCTCTCCAATTACTCCACATCTTTCTTGAAATGCGGTGCCCAGAACTGGACACAATACTCCAGTTGAGGCCTAACCAGCGCAGAGTAGAGCGGAAGAATGACTTCTCGTGTCTTGCTCACAACACACCTGTTAATACATCCCAGAATCATGTTTGCTTTTTTTGCAACAGCATCACACTGTTGACTCATATTTAGCTTGTGGTCCACTATAACCGCTAGATCCCTTTCTGCCGTACTCCTTCCTAGACAGTCTCTTCCCATTCTGTATGTGTGAAACTGATTGTCCTTCCTAAGTGGAGCACTTTGCATTTGTCTTTGTTAAACTTCATCCTTCACCTCAGACCATTTCTCCAATTTGTCCAGATCATTTGAATTATGACCCTGTCCTCCAAAGCAGTTGCAATCCCTCCCAGTTTGGTATCATCTGCAAACTTAATAAGCGTACTTTCTATGCCAATATCTAAGTCGTTGATGAAGATATTGAACAGAGCCGGTCCCAAAACAGACCCCTGCGGAACCCCACTTGTTATACCTTTCCAGCAGGATTGGGAACCATTTATAACTACTCTCTGAGTACAGTTATCCAGCCAGTTATGCACCCTCCTTATAGTAGCCCCATCTAAGTTGTATTTGCCTAGTTTATTGATAAGAATATCATGCGAGACCGTATCAAATGCCTTATTAAAGTCTAGGTATACCACAGCCACCACTTCTCCCTTATCCACAAGACTCGTTATCCTATCAAAGAAAGCTATCAGATTGGTTGGACGTGATTTGTTCTTTACAAATCCATGCTGGCTATTCCCTATCACCTTACCATCTTCCAAGTGTTTGCAGATGATTTCCTTAATTACTTGCTCCATTATCTTCCCTGGCACAGAAGTTAAACTAACTGGTCTGTAGTTTCCTGGGATGTTTTTATTTCCCTTTTTATAGATGGGCACTATATTTGCCCTTTTCCAGTCTTCTGGAAGCTCTCTTGTCTCCCATGATTTCCCAAAAATAATAGCTAGAGGCTCAGATACTTCCTCTATTAGCTCCCTGAGTATTCTAGGATGCATTTCATCAGGCCCTGGTGACTTGCAGGCATCTAACTTTTCTAAGTGATTTTTAACTTGTTCTTTTTTATTTTATCTTCTAAACCTACCCCCTTCCCATTAGCATTCACTATGTTAGGCATTCCTTCAGACTTCTCGGTGAAGACTGAAACAAAGAAGACATAAAGCATCTCTACCATTTCCAAGTTTCCTGTTACTGTTTCTTCCTCCTTACTGACCCTGTCCTTGGTCTTGATTCTAATGTATTGATAAAAAGTCTTCTTGTTTCCCTTTATTCCTATAGCTAGTTTGAGCTCATTTTGTGCCTTTGCCTTTCTAATCTTGCCCCTGCATTCCTGTGTTGTTTGCCTATATTCATCCTTTGTAATTTGTCCTAGTTTCCATTTTTTATATGACTCCTTTTTATTTTTTAGATCATGCAAGATCTCGTGGTTAAGCCAAGGTGGTCTTTTGTCTTAACCATGAGATCTTTCTAGGTGTCTAAACGTTGGCTGTTGTGATGCTAAGCATCACCTTGCCTAAGTTTCTTTGTGAATCAAGTCCCGTTTTCATGAGGCTATTTTCCTACAAGAAAGGGGGAAATCACCTCTCCTCTGATCTTTTCTTTCTCTAGAGACCCTGCCCTATCAACTGCGCTTTCTGATCTCAAAGGCAGAGAAAGAGGGTAAGTTTTCCTGAGGATATTTTCGTACAACAATTATTTAATTAAAATGTCAGGATTAATTTTTTAGAAGAAGCTTCTGAATTCAAACAAGAGAGGTTTCCACCAATACAGAGTCATGGATTCCAAGGTTAGAAGGAATCATTATATCATAAGAACAGCCAGACTGAATCAAACCAATGGTCCATCTAGCCCAGTATTCTGTCTTCCAACAGTGGCCAATGCCAGGTGCCCCAGAGGGAATGAACAGAACAGGTAATCATCCAGTGATCCATCCTGTCACCCATTCCCATTTTGTGAGGTATGAAAGTGCACATACTATTTACAATTGGAAAGTAGGGTACATTTTTTAGGTCCAAAAATCAGTCTTTAGGGCACACTCAGGTCACATTTCGCTGCTTCTCGCAGTAATTATAAGGACTAGAAAATTGCTCTATTTTTATTTTTTGTATGAAAGACAAGCTTCGCTGCTGGAAAACTTCATTAACACAGAGTGCAGGTTGACCATCAGTGCCCTGTACGCTTCCAGAACGTGAAGGGAATCCATATTTCAAGCTCTGAAAACTGGGAAATAAAGAGTTAAGGAAGCGTCTCCCACCAGCTCCTATGCTATACTTCCCTCTCGCCCTAGTGTCAGGAGCATGGACTCGTGTGCTGGGCTCCATCCATCCCCAGCTGGTGGAAGGTCCCTTGGGGGGAGACCATTCTAAGGCCAGTACTGAACCAGGCAGAGAATCAGGACTGCAGCGGCGGTCAAAAAAGCAAACAGAATGTTGGGAATCATTTTCTGTCTTATTATCTATCCCTTTCTTAATATCATATTGCCTCTCTATAAATCCATGGTACAACTACATCTTGAATACTGCATGCAGATGTGGTCTTCCCATCTCAAAAGAGATATATTGGAATTAGAAAAGGTACAGAAAAGGGCAACAAATGACTAGGGGTATGGAACAGCTGCCATATGAGGAGAGATTAATGAGATTGGGACTTTTCAGCTTGGAAAAGAGACGACTAAGGGGAGATATGATAGAGGTCTATAAAATCATGATGAGTGTGGAAAAAGTAAACAAGGAAGTGTTATTTACTTCTTCTCATAACATAAGAACTAGGGGTCACCAAATGAAATTAATAGGCAGCAGGTTTAAAACAAACAAAAGGAAGTATTTTTTCACACAACGCACAATCAAGCTGTGGCACTCCTTGCCAGAGGATGTTGTGAAGGCCAAGACTGTAACAGACTTCAGAAAAGAACTAGATAAATTCATAGAGGATAGGTCCATGAATGGCTGTTAGCCAGGATGGGCAGGGATGGTGTCCCTAGCCTCTGTTTGCCAGAAGCTGGGAATGGGCGACAGGGGATGGATCACTTGATGAATACCTGTTCTGTTCATTGCCTCTGGGGCACCTGGCATTGACCACTCTATTGGCCTAGATGGACCATTGGTCTGACACACTAGTTATCTATTCTTCTCTTCACTCTGCTCTGTGGAGCTGTCGTGCACCAGAGAAGCCAGGCGACTGTCTCTTCTCAGAAGTATTCAGGGGGTGAATGGAATTTAACAGCGGGGAGTAAGGAGCTCAGTTAGATACATGTATAACTAGATTCTCTAGAGAGCCATGGTCTGGCAAGGGAAGGCTTTTTACTGGATGAATTGAGAAAGGACCCTAATTGCGACCTCCTCTTCCCATCCACTGACCAGAAGCCGGTCTTTTGCCTTCCTCCATAGAGATCCCATATCTGCTTCCCTCTGCAACAAATCCCCAAATCAATAGTGTAAGAATAATCCACCAGGCACATGCAGTGATCATCTGCTCTCTGGACTGGGGAAGGAGGAAAAACTCTGGGGTCTGGAGCCCCTTTTTGGTGCGTTAGAGAATCTCCAGGAGTCTAAATAGCCCCTCTGAAATCAACAGGGGTGTCGGGAGGCAGGCTCGACCCCCACTCCTGGTCCTTACCAGACTAGCTACCACATTAAGTGCGACTAGCGCAGACACAATTTAGTACTTTTCAAATCCATTAGCTGGTGTCCCTGTTAACTTCCTCTTCCTGGTGTCTGCTTCCTCCCCTGCTCTGTTCTATTGCTGGATGTGGAGCACCCCCAGCAAGGGAGAGGGATCGGGGGAGGAGACTGAGATCCCCTCTGCCACTGATCCCCAGGATTGGTGCTACGGCCCCAGCTTTGGAACAGTCTCTGGGAGGAGCCCCTTCAATGTGCCAGACCTCCAACGTCAGCCCACTCTTCCTGCAGGGTAAGCCACGCGGCTTCACCAACTCCTTAGGCTGGACCTCTGGGCCTTCAGCCCTCCTGCCTCACAACATGAGCTGTGTGCAGTGTCTCCAACTGTGACAGACCCCTGAGGGAGACTTCTATGATCTTAGGGAGCAACACACCTCTGTAAGCACCTGCAGCGACACTCCGCCACCACTGTCACTGTCAAGCAACTGGGTTTATTAGTCCACTGCTCTGCACCACAGCACAGGGTTAGCACAGAGAAATGAAGGTTACAGCATAGTCCATTGTTCAAGCTCTGTCTCCCTCTCCATCTGATCTGCTTTCTAAGACTCCCAGGTGTGTCCCTACCATAGGCGCCGATTCTGTAGGTGCTCCGGGGCTAGAGCACCCATGGGGAAAAAAATAGTGGGTGCTCAGCGCCCCCCGGCAGCCCCATGGATCAGATCCTCCCTCTCCTCTCCTCCCACGCGCCGGCGGCCCCGCCAATCAGTTCCTTCCCCTCCCTCCCAGCACCTCCTACCTAATGCGATCAACTGTTCAGTGGTGGGCGGAGGAGCAGGGGCAGGAAGAGGCGGGGTAGGGTGGACATGTGGGGGAAGGGGTGGAGTGAGGGTGGGACCTGAGGCGGAGCAGGGGTCAAGCAGCACCCAGGAAGTCCGCTCCTCTGCTCCCCACTGCTTCCTGCAGCCAAGACGTAACTTCCGCTTCACCCCTCCCCCACCTCTAGTCCTTTGTTCCCGAGCTGGGGCGATGCAGCTCAGCCACAGAGGCGGGGAAGTCCGTAGCTCTCCCGGGTGCTGGTTGCTATGTTTCTATGTCCAGGCAATTTTCACCTTCCTCTGCAGCACATGGATGCGGGTGACATCCCAGGATTGTTTGGGGGTATCTCACTGAATCATTTCCCTGCATTGTGGGGCCTCGGGCACTGGTACCTCGGTGCCTCCACTTCTCTGCCTGTGGCACATAAATAGTCCAGTCTGCTGTAGGCTGTCCTGCTTTGGGCTAATGTTGGTTGTTGGGGTAGGTGGGTGCTGGGTGGGGTTGGTGGCCTGTGATATACGGGGCTCAGATTAGATGACCTGGTTCCCTTCTGGCCTCAGACTCTCTGACTCTCAGCACTGGAGTGGTTTAGCCTGCACAGAGGTGCCGACTTCCCCAGTTTCCAGTGGGTTGCTTGACCCTCACTCTGCCCCAGATCCCGCCCCAAGCCCCCACCCCTCCCCCCACCTCTTCCTACCCCCACAGCTTCCCCTACCCCTCAGAACCTCCTACCCACCTCTGAACAACGGATCCGTGGCAGGAAGAAGGCGCTGGGAAGGAGGGGGAGGAGCTGATTGGCGGGGCCCGTCAGTGCGTGGGGGGTGCTGTGGGGAGAGGGGGAGGAGCTAATCGGTAGGACCTGTCGGTGGGTGCCAAGCACCACTATTTTTTTTCTGTGGGTGCTTCTGCCCTGGAGCACCCATGGAGTCGGTGCCTGTGCTGGGTGGAAAGCACCCCTGAACTCAGATGAGGTGTTTATGCATCTGGACAGGAAGGGCATCAGGGTTAGCAGCTGAGTAAGCGCCTGGGTTAACTCTGCAGTGAAGACAGACCTTAACACTCTCCTTCTGTCTCTCTCTTCCCTCTTGCAGTGCAGGCCACTCCTGATCCAGACCTGGCAAATCCCTGTTCCATCGTGTCCACAGATGAGAGTGTGATACAGAAATACCAAGGCGCGGGATACTCAGTGCCACAGAACAGGTTTTATCCTGCTGCCTGTGTGCTGGGCTATAAGGGCTTCACCTCAGGGAGATGTTACTGGGAAGTGGAGGTTGGGGACAAAGATGAGTGGGTTTTGGGCATTGCCAAAGAGTCTGTGATACTCGAGGGAGCGATAAGCTGTACACCGGAGGAGGGGATCTGGGCTTTGCAGAGTACAGGGAATGAGTACTGGGCCCTCACCTCCCCTAAGACTGCTCTGGACCTACGTCGTAGCCCCAGTAACATTGGGGTTTACCTGGATTATGAAGAGGAGAAAGTTACATTTTATGACATTACATCTTCTGGCAAAGAGCCAATCTTTACTTTCACATCCTCTTTCACTGGGAAGATCATCCCCTTCTTTGGGAGCCGGCATGTAGAATATCAGAATCTAGGCAGTAGTGGTCCCTGGAATGCACACCGTAGAATGGTACAGCTAAGCATGCCAGTAAGTTATCACTTTCAGGCATACCATTAAGACCTGTGACAGAGGAGCAGGGATCCGAGTGATATGAGACAGCTAAAGTAGAGCAAAGACATAGGTAATATATAAATTACAGCTATCACACTTTGCCATTCTAATCACAGTCTTGCCAGCCTCAAGCATTCAAAAACTGTGTCAGATCCCCCAGAATCATGAGATTGGCTTAAACATCTTTTTACATTTTGTGTTATTTTTCTTTGCTTTCTGGTTTCCCAGCTTTCAGGGTGTTCTTGTTTCCGGTTTTCAATCTTTGCTACACAAACATGAAGGCTGGAAATGTATCTGTAATATAATCTGAGCTCCCTCAAATCTATCTACTCCAACAGCTGGGACTGTAAGAAAAACACTGAGTGCTGCGAGACTCACAATAAAATGGTGAGGGAGAACAAGACTGACTTGCTCAGCATTATACTGGTGAAAGGAGTTTCTCAGCCCTCTTACATGCTTGTCTCTGTAACTCTGGGATCCTCCAGACACACACGAACTGACCAACCAGCAGACACTAGGAGCCACTCCCAGGGTCACAGCAGAGCCTGCCTGTCTTAGGGCAGGTCTACACTTAAAATACTACACCAGCACTGCTGCGCCGCTGTAATGCTTAAGTAAAGACGCTCCTACGCCGACAGGAGAGCTTCTCCCATCAGTGTAGTTAATCCACCTCTGTGAGAGGCGGTAGCTATGTCCAGGGGAGGAGCTCTCCCGTCAACGTACCGCTGTCTACACCGGGAGTTCAGTCGGTATGACTGCGTTCACTGAGGGGTGTGGATTTTTCACAGCCCTGAGCGATATAGTTCCACTAATGGAAGGTTATAGTGTAGACCTGGCCTAACTTGTGACTCACTTAGGGTCATCCATCAACGTCCTCTGCTCTTTTCTTATGAATATAAGAAACATAGTGGTGTTTCCCTCTCCCTCCAGTTCCCTAGCTCAATGCTCCTATTTTGCTCTGTTTGGTTATTTGGATGCTGTAGATTCAAATGAGTAAATTCACAGAATAAAGTTTATTTCTATCTTCTGGCCTTGGACTTTGTCCCAAGGGTATTAGATCTGTATGGCTCTGTCCTGAAACATTAGACAGACCCACGAGCAAATCCCTTGAAGGGGCTTGAAGAAAAGCCGCTGGGTAACTTTAAGCGAAAGCTCTAAAAGCAAAGCTTGAGGAATGAGTAAATAAAATCAAAGAATCGAGTGATGCTTTCCCGGGCAAGAAAAAAGCAACAACATCCTCGCTGTGAAAGAAATCCATTAGCAACTTCCAGCTGCCAAGGAACAGAAGGAAACTGGCAATAAAGTAGCCAACTCACATTATCAACTACAGAATATTATGGGGTGGCACTTAGCCGCACCATTGTGTTGCAGCAGCATTTCTTTCCCAAACCAAATTACCCCTTTTTCTTTAAATTCACATTCACGGTCTGATTGGCTAGAAACCTGATATGCCACCTGAGGGCACAGGGTAGGGTCGGGGTACAAAGCTGGAGTCATTTGGTCAAGGGGTTCATGAGATACAGCTGTGAGCTAGGTATGAAATACGAGCACAATCGTGTTCATGGCTGGTTGAGGGAGACTCCCAGCACACCCTGTAGCCTACAGGCTGGAAGGCAGAAGAACTCAATCTCTTCTGCTGCTGCTTCTCAGCAGTTTGTATTGGCTGAGGCATTGCACCCTTGGGGAGGTACCCGTCATCACTACCCCCTTTTTGCAGATGTGATAAGAGGATGCAGGAGGTGAACTCAGACAAAGTGGAAGATGATTCGTAGATTCCAAGGCCAGAAGGGCCACTGTGATCTTCTAGTCTCCTGTGTCACACAGGCCACTGAACGTACCCCAAATAATTCCTAGAGCATCATTTTGATTTATTTTTTCCAAATCTTGATTTAAAACTTGTCAGTGACCCCTTGGCAAATTGCTCTACTGCAGGGGTCTCAAACACGCTGCCCGCGGGCTGCACGCATTAGAAATGTACACCTTAATGCCAGGTCTCTGTCTAATACAGCAGACCCACACCTCAATCACTGAACCCCTCGGCCTTTGGAAATGAACCTACCAGCTCAACTAGCCGCACAGGCCAGGAGTTCAGGCTTGGTGCCTGGCCCTGCTGCACAACACTGAAACAAAGGTGCAGTTGATTCAGGCTTGAAGCATGGCAGACACCAGGTAGGTTCAGTGCATGGAACAAGCACAGCCCTGAGACTGGGGGCAGGGGAGGTAGCTGAGAAGAGGTCGGCTCCGTGCATGTCCCAGCCACACAGCACTGCGAGCGGGCTGGGAGAGCTGACAGCCGGCCGACTTGGGGCATGGCAGACACACAGTGCTGAGAACATGCAGAGTTGGGGCATCACCCGCACATAGCACTGACTGGGGCGGGGGCAGCTGCAAACAGTCATGCCTAGTGCACGGCAGAGACACACGGTGCCGGGACGTGTGGGAGCAGGCACGCTCTGTGCATGGCGCAGACACAGCGCTGACAACAGAATCAGGTGAGACTGGGGTGTCTGATGAGAATGGGCAGGCTCGGGCCATGACACAGACTCTGTACCTCAGTTTCCCCATCTGTAAGCTAGCTGGGCTCTTCCAGGGCAGAGCCAACCTCCTTTGACTTGCGTGGAGGTCAAGAAATAAGTTTGTCTTGTGTGGGGCTCCGGCGGGGGTTCCACATTCACAATTGCCCCCTGTTGGGAAGTGAGGGGAGGGCGCTGTGGGGTACATCAGAAAGGAGGACACTGCAGGGTTGTGCTTGGCGAGACGAATTTTGGATGATCTTCATGTGGCCTTGATTCAGAGGAGCGAGGAAGGGAAATTACATCATGTTGCAACATTGTATCCCACCATCCAGAGCCATCCTTGTAACCAGCCGCATCCCCAGCGGAGCGCCAGTCACTGCTCTTTTCCCACCATGGTTACATTTCCTGTTCTGGGCCCAGGCGGCTGCTTGTCCCAGGCCCCCTCAGTCTGTCCCATGATGCCCCCTCCTGCAGCTGGGATAGACAAGGGGGCTGGGAGTCGCTGTGTAACCCCTTACCCTGTACAATGCAGGGGTCCCCGTACCAGCTCCCCTCACACACACTGTCCTGGGTCATTGGTCCTCTGCCCTGAGCTGGGATGAATCTCTCTCTAAAGGGGAGAGAGGAGCTCTGTCTGCATGATCCACTGAGTCCATGGCCTTTCTGCTGAGCCTCACACGGAGGGGTGTGATCAGTAGAGACTTTGCTGGTTACTTTGGTGTGTAATGGAGTCGCCTACACCCCGGGAACCAGGCTGAACCCTGGTCTACACTACGGGGTTAGGTTGAATTTAGCCACGTTAGGTCAATTTAAAAATGACTGCATCCACACAACCAACCCCGTTCCGTCGACCTAAAGGGCTCTTAAAATCGACTTCTGTACTCCTCCCCGACAAGGGGAATAGCGCTAAATTTGACCTTGCTGGGTCAAATTTGGGGTAGTGTGGACGCAAATCGACGGAATTTGCCTCTGAGAGCTATCCCAAAGTGCTCCATTGTGACTGCTCTGGACAGCACTTTGAACTCCGATGCACTAGCCAGGTACACAGGAAAAGCCCCGAGAACTTTTGAATTTCATTTCCTGTTTGATCAGCGTGGCAAACTCAGCAGCACAGGTGACCATGCAGTCCCCCCAGAATCGTAGAGCTCCCCCTATCATCACCATCCCTGAGGTTATTGCAGATTAGAAGGCGAAAAAAACGTGATGACATGTTTTCCAAGCTCATGCAGTCCTCCTGCACTGATAGGGCACAGCTTAATGCAGGGGGTTATTTTCTGTGGCCCGTGAGCTCCTCGCAGCCCCCCCACCCTCCCCCAGCATTTACCTAGAGCGGCTCCAACCCGACACGCATCGGGGACATGGCAGGCTCCCTGCCTGCCTGCCCTGCCCCCGTGCCGGGAAGCGGCCGGAACACGGGGAAGGGGGGGCACATTGGTGTGTGTGTTGATGTTGCTTCAGGCACCGCCTCCAGCAGCTCCCATTGTCCGCAGTTCCCCATTCCCGACCAATGGGAGATGCTGGGGGCGGTGCCTGAAGCAACAGCAATACACACATCCTGGAGCGGTGTGGGGGTGGGGCAGGGCAGGGCAGACAGGCAGGCAGGGAGCCTGCCCTGCCCCCGATGCGCGCTGGGCCAGAGCCTGTCCCTGAACCCCTGCCCTGAGCCCCCTGCTGCACCCCATACCCCTCCTGCACCCCAACCCCCTGCCCTGAGCCGCCTGCCACACCTCACACCCCTCCTGCACCCCAACCCCCTTCCCTGAGCTGTCTGCCACACCCTGCACCCCGACCCCCTGCCCTGAACCCCCTGGCGCACCCCTCCTGCACCCCACCCACTGCCCTGAGCCCCCTTCTGCACCCCTCACCCCTGCCCTGACCCCCTGCCGCACCCCTCACCCCTCCTGCACCCCCTGGGGGCAGGGGGGGCAGAGTTGGGGTGGGGATTTCGGGGAAGGGGTTGGAATGGGGGCAGGGAAGGGGTGGGAAGAGGCAGGGCAGGGGTGGGGCCTCATGGAAGGGGTGGAGTGGGGGCGGGGCCGAGGGCGGCAGGGGGGAGGCGTCAGTAATGCGGCCCTCGGGCCAATGTACTGGTCCTCCTGTGGTAATTTGAGTTTAAGACCCCTGGCTTAATGCATGGAGGCATTCAGGGCGATTTTATAGAAGTCGATTTTTAGAAACTGATTTTATACAGTCGATTGCGTATGTCCACACTAAGCGCATTAAGTCGGCGGAGTGTTGTTAGGATAGAAATATTCGGGCCTGTCTGTAAAGGCCTATACTTTAAGAATTTACGTGTATTCTTATCACTTAGCTAGTTATAGAGGTATAAAAGAGAGAATCAAAATCACTATCTGCCGGTGTAGGGCCTTCTCTTACCGTGACAAGCTGAGGCCCTGTTCTTAGGATAAGGCCTTTGGCTAAGCAGCAGAGGCCAGCCATAAACCGGGAAGTGTATGGTCACATCCTCACATTCCAAACTAGTCACATTGAAATAAGGTGCTATTGGGCTGTTAGGAATACAATTCTGTCCTGATATTCCTATCACCTCCAGAGAAAGGGAAGAGCCTAGAAGATGTAAAAGGAAACTTAGTGTGATAGCATCCTGTCTGCCAAGAACTCACTTATCAATAGCTGGGATGTAAAATCCTTGTTTCTGTATTGTTTTATATGTTTATTTGCATGGTCTCTGTCTGGTTCTGTAATCGTTTCTGTCTGCTGTATAATTAATTTTGTTGGGTGTAAACCAGTTAAGATGGTGGAATATAATTGCTTAAATAACCATGTTACAGTATGTTAGGATTGGTTAGTTAAATTTCAGTAAAATGATTGGTTAAGGTATAGCTAAGTAGAACTCAAGTTTTACTATATAGTCTGCAGCAGGGTAGTCAAAGCCAGGAGAATAAAATATTTGAATTTATTTTTGGGTAACAAAAGAGCAGATAAAAGATCTGGTAAAAAGAGAGAGAAGGACAGTGCCCCTGGCTCTGTGTGGTCGAGCTGTCACTTTACTAGGGGTGCATGGAGATTTTGTAAGCACAAAAGAAACAGT